CAAGCCCAAACCTCAACTTACTCCGGCTGGCTTTCAGGGGCGAGCAAACAGTTTAGACATTTTGAAGGCTTCGCAGCCGCCAGTAGGTGTTGGACGACCATTTGGGAGTCTCTTTTTTCAGACCACCATCATGGACTCGTTTGTCCTTCTGGTGTCCCTTTGCCACCAAAGGGGTACCGACCCCAAAACAAACGAGCAGGTCTGCAAATTGCTGCGACTGAGCTTGAAGGGGGGCTCGCCTGTGAGAGCTTGTCAAATCTGGCTTCTTGAAACCAGTAGTAACAAACTTGTTTTTTCTATGGCAATGCTTGAAACTGTAAATGAAGGTAGTGTTGGAAGACAGGTTGGCATTTGTGTTTCTTGCTTGTGTTTTGCACAGGGAAAAGTAGAACTGCATGTCAATTAGCTGTTTGGGACTTTTAAGGGGTGGGAGGGGGAGGGGGGTAGCTCTAATCACTAATCGCAGGTTTTCCTTTCGAGGCGAGACAACTATTGGGTGATGAAATTGTTCACCCTTGTCTGAAATGGCAACATTGGTGAGGAGACTCAGGGAGGGAGCTGATTAGTCCGGTTGCTGGCTTGCAACCTGCGGCACGGAGTCTTGTCATGACCGGCTTGACGACCGTGACATTGCCGGCTTGACGGACTGGAGTTTGTCTTGCAGCTTTTTGCGGTGCCACCTTCAGCTTGCCAACCAAAAAACTGACATCCGAAAAGTTCGAAAGCCTGAACTTGCAGGAAAAAGTAAATGCACAGGTTGGGATGTTTGATTCAAGTGCCTTTTCAAAGGACTGTACCCCCAACCAACCCCCAATCCCCACCAAAACCATTGGATAGCACCATGGCCACGTGCCGAACAAGCCTGGGCACACCGTCTGCTGCTGCTCCTGGCTGGGGTCCGGCTGGCCAGCAACCTGAGGCACGTCTTTGCCGGGCTCCTGATATGCGTGTCTTCGAGTTCACTGGGCTGTTGGTGAGTCACCTCTTTCTAGAAACTGGGAGTGTCATGCCATTCCCTTGCCAGAACATGGTGAATATTGAACGTTGCTCAGATGCCCTGCTCAGATGCCCTGCTCAGATGCCCCCCTCAAACATCACCCCTCCAAAAGCGACTCACACCACCAAAAAGGGAAACTGATCCGCATTGCAGCCCCTGGTGCTCTCTCATCTTTCGGCGGAAAATGCTCCTTGCCGGCCTTAAGGCCCAACAATCCTTGGGCCATTTGATTCGTGGCTCAAACTTACGTGGCTTGAAGGTGCGGGGCTGTTGATGAGCAGCAACGCCCACAAGGGGTCACCCCGGATTGCTGAACCCCAGTTTGTCAATAGGGGGGTGCTTCTCCCTGGGTTTAGTGGGGCAGAAAATCACTTGTGGAGGGAACACCCCCATATTAATCAACAGTTTATTAATCCGGGGTCAGCACTTGGCTCCAGGACCGCGGCGATTTTTTCGCTGAATCCTGTTGCAGTGGGGGAGGAACTTCCACGGCGTCATTGTCGCGCTCCGCTGAACCATATGGCGCTCGCCTTTCGGCGGGACAACAACGACACCACCTGAAAGCGCCGAGGCCCTTTCTTGGGGTACCTCCAAAACGGTCAGCAGGCAAACCTCGCCTGCGGTGTTCCGAAAAGCAGGGCTCAACAGGTTGATCAAAAGGTCCTTTACCATGGGATGACGGTTGGATACCAATGGTTGGAACTAACAAGACACGATCTCTCCCACATGAGGAAACACCCACCTTGCTCATTTGGGGGCCCTAAGTGGAAGATTGATCAACCCCCAGGTGGCCAAGGGAAAAAAGCGAGTGCGAAGCGGAAGGTTTCGTCCTTTCCAAGCAGCGAAGGTGGTCCGGTAGAGCTCCACGTGCCAGTTCAGGAACTGGGAGTCCTACGCAGGCGCAGGACTAAAATCCGGAACGGCGAGGCAAGGAACACCTGGTCCTGTGAAAGGATCTCGTGGGGATCCAAAGAACTGGCGCCTTAAAGAGAAGTCGCCTAAGAAACCTGATCACGTCTGTGATCCATGCATTGCAATCTGCCATGTCTTCAGAAGCATGTTTCTGTGACGTCGAAGATACGTCCGCATTCTGCAATGCAACGACTGCCTGTCACCATGTCACGCCGCTTCATCCAAAAGCAAAAAACGAAGCAGTCAGCCATGGTCTGCTGGTCGGCTTGGGCACGAGCGGTTCCACTGACCGAATGGTTGTCACTCGTGCAGCACGCAGCCGGCGATGCGCAGGGACCAAACTGGGAACTGGGGACGAGGAACCGAGTCATTGGTTCAAAAGCTCTATCCACCCAAAAGCCTCCCCCGGATCCGAACCAAATGGAGCCCCAGAGCGAAACCTAAGGCTAACTCGATTTGCTGTGCCCGAAGATACTCTAAACACGCCCTTTGCCCCCTCCCACAACAAAATGCAGCGTATGAGGCAGGCATCAGGAAAGAGTATGTCAAGATCAGAAATACCACTTATATAGGTCTATACTTGCCCGAAGTGCCTTACACAAGTGGTATATATGCCCTCTCTGATCGATAAGCTCGCACAAATCTGGAGATAAAGCTGAGTATCAGTCCCCTGCCCCAAGGATCACCAAGAAGGCATGGCTTTCCCAGTGATTCCAGTTACCCGTAAAATGAGTAACTAAGAAACTCACCCTTCAAACGCCAAGAGAAAAATGGATGGTTGCCATGGTTACCAACAAACCCACGGAAAATACCCCCTTTTTTCAAAAACAAACATAGTGTTTCCCCTGCAAACATGGGGGGGGGGGCCCTGGATTTTACAGGAAATTGATGGCCCAGCCCCTTTACTAATGACTCGTCGTCCCAAACTAACAAATAGGCCAACAACCATATCAATTCGAGTGAATTTCTAATTTTCACTCGGCTGAGTTGGGACATCTCCTGATCCCCCCCCCCCCCTGGTCCTGCTGGGCGCCAGCTATCCAGGACAGGGTCAGCCTGGAGCTTGCTGACTCTGGGCAACAAGGACTTCACTGTGCCCATCAAGAGGAATCAGCGAAATAATTTTGGGGTCAACTGAGGTGGGGGACTTACCCCAAGGCTAACTCCTGAACTCGAGGGCTTCAAACTACGAAGCCACCCCTTTGAGCGGGATTGAAGAAACAGGGCCCATTCAGGTAGTATGCATTTGGGGGGCCCCGGTGTTGACATCAAACATTGGGACTCATAGCCACCGACCTTGTTTGCGGGTGTTCCCCAATTCGAGTTCGCAGCCATGTTGGATCCGTCTCGGCTTTGTGCATTAGACCCTGGATCGTACGTTTTCGCTGCGAAACTGAGACATTGGAGCCACAATCAAAACCCAGGTAGATGCAGGTTGGTAAGGGACAGTCCCAGCCAGAAATAGCTGCTGCCGCCTTGATATTTTCTTACATGGTTCTGGGTCAAGCAATTTTTACCGGGTTTCGATTGTGACTCATTTGATATTCTTTCCGACCATCTGTTTTGTTCAGACCACTTTGGGTCATCCAAGAGTGCAATCCCAGAGAAAGGAGAGTTGTCAAAATTCGTCGGCCTTCGTTTCTGGCAAACTGGTGCCAACTGGTTTACACCTAAGGGCAAATCTTTCGGGGCCCCACCAGAACATCTCTCTGAATCCCAGTGAAAAACCCGGGGTTTTGGCTCAGAGCGGCTGATCCCTCTCATCGGGAATGAGGGGATCAAACCAAATGAGGTTGCGCCAACGACTTTCAACTGATGGGTCTCAAAATAGGGAGGCAACCACCTTTGAATGTTGGGAAGCTGACGGGCTTCTATAGTCTTGAGAAATACTCAAATATGACCTGCTGACTGGCTGGAAACAAACAACAACGCTGTTTAGGCCTGCACTACAAACCATGAAGGTCTTCAAACCAAGCAACAAACAACTTACAGTTTGCCAGCCCAACAGGTAAGAAATCCCCACGAAATCTGGGAGTAGAATCGTTCAAACCCTTGCTCAAATGCAAACTTTGCAAGCGCATCACTGAGAAAAGCTCTGAGTTCGCTGTGGGGGGTTCCCAGCTAAACTGGTTCCAACCTGGCAGCGGTTTCGGGCAGGGGCCAAAAACACATCTATCAGGCCTTGGCCCCCGAAAAATGAAAACCTTCAACCATGTTGGTTTATGCGGTGATATGACATCGTCACAAGCTTCAATCTTGTCCGAAGGAAACCAACCAATTGTCTATCCTTGTCAAAATGGCCTAAGCCATGGTCCAACTGGGCTGTCCTCAGATCCCCTGCAAAAAGTTTAGCTTTTACTGGGTTAAACCACTAAACCAACTATAAAAAGTCTAAAGAGCTAAGGAACCGGATGGCTGGGCTTGCCACCAAGTTACCAGGGGGTTGACTCACAAAAACGGATGCCTCCTGTTTTTTCTGAGCGAGGCACTCGTCGGAAGTGGACGGGGACTCCGTTGCCTCGCTGGGTGAACCCAAAGAGGCTTCATTTTGGTTTGCCTTCAGAAGAAATGGGTGTGGGTCAAAACCCTGTACCCCTGGTGAACATCAAAATAGGTGGTACATGGGTGTTCATCCACCCCAGAATGAAGGCATAGGTTATGACCCATGGCCCATGGCCAAATGGGTGCGTCAGTTTCTAGGGGATTCGGTTTTCTGTTTGGCTCCCATCCAAACCCGCCAAAAAATGGTTGCTCAAGCAAGGGCGGGCCGCCAAATCTCTTTTAAGCGTTTGGGCTCGGTGAAAAAAAACATTGCCACTTCCCTCGGCAAAGGAGTTGGACTTCTTCCTTTTCTGGGTCCAACTGACACCCGCAAGTTCCCATGTTTTTTCAAAAAAAAACCTCCCATCCCAAGGAGACAACTCTAATTAGGGGCTTTGTGGGTCTATTTTGTTTGGGGGGGGCCTCCGTGCCGCAGCAAAAAAAAACAAACTTTTTGTTGGTTAAAAGGAAATATGAGGGGAATCCAAAATGTTAAAGTCTATAGATCCAATAGCAGTAGAGATGTTCAGGACAGCATCACAGCATCAAACACCACTCTTTGGGATCATTGCTCGAGAACTTGGCATAAGCGATCGGTACACCTTTGGAGATTGCCAGCAACATGGGTGGGGTGGGGATCCATGGCCAACTGATTGTTACTCAGGGAAAACCCCATGGCACCCAGGCGGCGCAGGTCTGTAAAGACTCAACGAAATCCGACCATCACTTTCCCCGTGAAGATTCGACCACTGGACAGGGTGTCCCCTACCACGGGAGACCTAAATGGACCAGAATACTCGAGTGGTAATGGTTCAAACCTTAAAGAGGACATAGGATCTTGTTCAAGGCAAAAAGTGTTTTTCCCTTTGGGCTGTCCTTTAAAACCACCAAAAAAGGGGTGCCCTCTGACCCAAAAACACAAAAACCAACAAACAACTCTCACACACACACACATCCCACCAAAAAGAATAAAAATCATGGGGAACCATGGACTTTTCTCACGGCCAAAAAGGCTGGGGGAGGGGCCGTCAGCGCAGTCGGCTGCCCTGCCGGCTGCAGGCAATTGGGCCCCACCGTAGCCTAAACGTTTCCGGCGAATCGTCCCTACTTGGGAAACGGCTTGTTGTTGGCAGGCTAATTCTGAAGGGAAGCCAACGCAGAACGTGCCTTTTTCCAAAGCATCAAGTCCAGAATCGGACGTAAAACAAAATCCTACTTGGAAGGGTGGCGTGGAACCCCCCCAAGAAAAAAAATGGTGGTGTCCCATGTTGTTCGTGGAATCACAATTCTCTGCTCACCTTCATACTCACGTCAAGAACATACAATGCATCCGCGGTCATAAAACAAAAACGTACCCGCGCTCGCCCCCGGCATCTTGCTCAGCCGCCAGCGCAACGTACTCAGCTGCTAAATCGTACATGGAAATGGAAGCGTTCTCAGAACCAGGAAGCGAACTTATGAGCATTACTCGAAAACCGGAACGAGGATGTTGATTCCGCAAAACGAAATCGCAGCGACCATTTTTGGGCTGGATGGGGCCCCAGTGGGAAGCGGGCGAAGGACCCTAAATCCAGAAATCAACCATCCTGCCAGGTATCCTTCTCAGCCCGGGGACAGCCCCCCATTCTTGGGGCCCTCTCCAGGGGGCACCTAAGGTGACACTTTGACCCCCCACAACCTCTCTCAAAGCGCAGCTGGATCTCTGGGTTAATGCGGTGGAAGCCACTTGGCACTTTGGAAACAGGCGCTTGGTACAAACACATGTGGTGCTTACACCCGCTATTCTCAGAAGAAGCGAACGCCAGACTAAACGCAGATGCAAAGACTAGTTGCCATCTCGTTGGTTTCTGGCAAACCGAAGTAAGCCTGCGTGAAAACGATGGTGATGCAGATCCTAAAACGTGGAACCTCCAAACGCCTGACCTCAGGAACATCACCGGGAACTCCGGCTGCTTCGGGCAGCCTACATCTAACTTCACTTGACTTAGACCCCTTTCACAAGTTCTGCGATGTTGACAGAACCATTTTGGTAACCCATACCTCGTCTGCAGGGTGTGGGTTAAATTCCCAAACGGCATGATGAAAGGGACAACAAATCGAACCATGAAAGGCCAACAGTCAAAAGGTCTGCGCTGCGCACCGTCAATCTGTCAGAGCAACTGGTTCATTCCGATTTCCGATTTCCGACGTCGTTGTCTGTTGCATTTTCCTGCTGGATCTAAAGGCATTCCAAATCCGACCCAAAAAGTTCTCCCTGACTTGCACGTGAAATATCCTGAATCATCCTCAATCATCCCAATAGCTACCTGTACGCCAACCTCCATTTATAGACCTAGAAACAACCCTAAGTTGACCCCATGAAGCCTTTGAAATGAAAGGATCGGAAATGACAACTTGATCCCCCTCAAAACGGACAAACAAACCTGAAACGAATACGCCTGCAACGTCAAACATCATGTTACTCTTGCAAAACAACAGTTCCAGTTGCTGACCTTGCAGATATTCCGTCCAAACAAAGAGAAAACATGGACTGCTCAAGGGCCAACCCTACTGGTGCAAGCCGTTCGTGGGTTCACTCTTCCTACGACAATATCACGCCTTGCGGATCAGAAAATGGAAAATCTTTGTGTGGCAAGCCCACATACATTCACATACTGTACCCCCATCAGGTTTGCAAACATTTATAAACTTCCATAAACATTATAGCCAACACAGCAACTGAAAAATCAGTGACTCAAGTCCGAAACGGAGAGCATATTCCCCCAACACATAGTTCAGCGGCAACCTCCACGCCTCTGCAAAGTTTACTATGAATTGAAGATATTGAGGGATTTACTTTACTTAATTTTGCAGGTATAGTTCCAAAACCTGAATTGAGGGAGTTGCAGGTAAAGGATCTTTGGCATGGCTTTCGCTCGTCTCCCCACGAATTCCGAATCGGAGAGCTCGCTACAAAATCCGCTTTAAGCTTCCAGTATCGGAGATACAACTTTTGGCCGGACTTCTGCGGTAAGTCCGATGGCATCACCAGCTACAAAACTGGGCTAATTGTTGCCTCGCTACAAAATTGGAGAACATGTTTTCAGATCACTTGAAGTTCGAACCACGGCGCCAGCGTGCTGCCGCTGACTGGCCGACTCCAGTCCGAAGTGGCGGCATCGCGCTGGCACTGCTGGCGCACCTGGCACGCGCGCCCGGGGTCCCGCCCGGGTTCCGGCTCTTGAGGCTACCCTGGGCTACCCTTTTTTTCTTTCTCGGGGAACCGCAGGGAAACCACTCGACTTTTTTGGGGCTGTTTTGTTTCTTCGGGGAACCACAGGGAAACCACCCTTTTAAGGGGCCCATCAACAAAAACCACTCACCCCAAGCGACAAGGCAACATGGGGCAACACCAGCTGTGATACCCAACCTAGACCGCAAGGTTGGCCACAAGTTTGGAGTCCGGCAAGTTTCCTAAGGCTCGAGCGTGACATCTTCAAAAGTGCCATGGTCGAAAGGGAAACTGCCTTGTTGCTTGGGGTGGTTCCCCTCAAAAATCAACCCCAGAAAGGGTAGCCTCAAAAACGGAACCCACTTTATTGGGCTTGTAGTGGATGAAAACACGCCACAAGATTGAGTTCTAAGGTTGAAACAAAGGTGTGGCGTAGGAAGCACACCCTCTGCCAACCCCTTTGATTTGCGGGTTCTTTGGGCAAGATAGCACTACTTCAGCACTCCACAAAAAATAGTTTCCAGTCAACAAGTGATGGCTACAAGGCAAAGTCAAAACAAAGGGTCTGCAGCTTCGACTGTATACCAGTTTTTCCACAACGGGTCCAAACATGTCCAAACAAAAGATGGGGCCCTCCAAACGGAGTTGACTGTTTGGCAAGAGCAACCCAAGGCATCTGTTGGCAATGAACTATTGACCATTGCGACCATACTGGTCCAATAGTTGGGATTCGGAGGCGTGCACTGGTGCTTTGGTTCCAGCCACCGCTAAAAGCAACAAACACACAATGGAAGCTCAGAACCGTGGTTTACAAGCCGGCAATATACAACATGAATTCGCCTCGGCCCCAAAGGGGCCAAGGGCGCTCAGATCTCTTCTCCAAAGAGAATCTTCGCTTTTCCCCTCCCCCAACACCCCCCACCCCCCCCCACCCATGTCGGCTGGCCCAAAATCCTGTCCGGCGGGCCTTGAAATTTTCGGGGTTCGTCGGCGTCCAGCTCCATGGGTCCATTTTTGTCGATTGCTTTTTTGGTCCTGAAAAGCATGGCCTCCTGCTGGCCAGGAGACGTGTCTGAGACTAGGCTCAGGCCCAGCCCAACCAGCAACCCCAGCCCACCCAGCCTCAGGCCCAAGCTTGTCTGAAACAGGCCTAGCCCAGCAACCCGCCCAAGCACGGCCCCAAGTCATCCCCCACTAGGCCGGCCCCTAGCTCCCAGCCCACCAGGCTCAGCCCAGCGTGCCAAGGTCAGTTTTGTCTAACGTGTCTGAGACTGGCCTCACGCCAACGACCAATCTCACTTGTCTGATACTTTTCTCAAACTACTCCACCTACCAAGCCTGTCTGACGTGCCCCAGCCCCTCAGTCCGGCTAAGCAGCCCAGGCCGACCTCCTGCTCGCATCTGACCCCAACTCATCCAGCAGGCCCACCCCTTCAGCGCAGTCTGAGACTGGTCTCAAAGTCGCCTGCTGGCGTGTCTTACGTCTGGCCACCCAGCCTCAGGCCCAAGTGTGTATGAAACAGGCCTTACCCATCCAGCAACCCGCCCAAGCACAGCTCAGCCCAGCGTAGTCCGGCTGCCCGGCAGCCAGCAACCCACCCTGCCCAGCCCAGGCCCCGGTGCATCTCAGGCTCTGAGACTGGTCTCAAGCTATGCCAGCTACCAAGCCTGTCTGACGTGCCCTCGCGTCTGGCCCCAAGTCATCCAGCAGCCCCAGCCCCTTCGGCGCAGTCTGAGACTGGTCTCAAAGTATGCCAGCCTGAGACTAGGCTCAGGCCCAGTCCCTCAGCCCGCCTGCTGCAGGCTCAGCCCAGCGTGCCAAGGTCAGGTTTGTCTAACGTGTCTGAGACTGGCCTCAGGCCAACGACCAGTCTCACGTGTCTGAGACTGGTCTCAAGCTACGCCAGCTACTAAGCCTGTCTGACGTGCCCCAGCCCCCCAGTCCGGCTGCCCAAGCTCAGCCCAGGCTGACAGTCTTGGTTTTGGATTTCAAACCTTCCGAGCAGGACGGCTTCCGAACATCGAACTAGCACGGGCGAACTGGTGCGGTCACAAGCTTTCGGTAGGATTCGGACCTTCCCAACACTGGATTTCGGTGTTCCTGACCCTTCCCTCAAACTAGGCTGGGCCGAGGCGGGCAACGCGAAGCGTTTCCAATTAAAGGGGTCCTTTGGTTTCCCTTGCATCGCCGCAGGCTTTGCGGGAGAACATTGGGCAAACAAAGAAGCAGGCACTGGGTATTAGCGGGGAGGGCAGATTCCTGTGCCCCCGTTTTTACCTTCTCCCCTTGCGTTGTTCATGAATTCATACCTGACACATCCGCAACATGAGGTCGCACACCACATCCTCGAGGTCTTTAATGGGACTTGGTGCTGTCCTGCGACGGTTCGATCCGCGCCTGGATGATGTAGCCGGTCTGGCAGGCCAGGTTCGCGATGGTACCTGATTGTCTGGGTGGATGTGCTCGTAGGGTCGAAACCCTGGTGACTACCTCAGCCTTACCCCCAACCCAAATAATTTTGATAATTATCGGGCTTGATTCCCCATGATTGTCAAAAATCGTTCTTTTCAAAAACCAGCCGTTTTACCTGTGATTCTGGAGGCTTTCTAGAAAGAAGGATTCCTAGAAAGAATGAGAAAGGTACCCCTAGAATAATGGCTCGTAGTTAGTAAACCTCAAGATATTAGGTCATTTCAAAAGAGGCCCAAGGTGAGTACGCCCGTTGGTTTTAAAAAGGGACAACAACCGTGCACATGAACAAAAAGGGTGAAGGTGAACACCTCCCACTCGCTGCTTCGCTTCGGAACTCGTGGTTTCCTTTCGGGGATCCGACTCATTCCTTAACCAAGTACTGGCCGCCAAACCTGCGGCCACAAACTTCTCTTTCGGGACCTTCCGCTTCCTACCGTTTGAAAATGGCAGTAGCCGAAACCAGGTGGGGGGCCCCCTGTCATTCGTTCAAGACACAAAAGGGGACGTGGACTCTACATGTGTCACAATCAGAGTGGACTCTACATGTGTCACAATCAGAACCCGGTATTTAAATGGTTGACCCACAACCATGCAAAGAAGTAAAAAGAAGGCTGCAGCTATTTATGAACCTGAGTAGTGTGCTGTTAGCTTCCCTAAATGCTATATCTGATTTCCCTAGACTGCATATGTCCGTTACTCTGTTTCCCTAAAGTTCCCTCTCTTGCTCCTGGAAAATGACCCGTCAGCCTGTCGCTATGGTTGACATGCTGACATGCGGGTGTAGTTTGAGCTGCTCTGGACCCCTCCGCCAAACACATGCAAAACAGCACGCTAAACTTTAACCAGCTTCAGAAAGCTGACTTTTCTTTGTGCCCGCATCGCTATGTTTTTTGTTTGTTTGTTTTTCATTACCGGTCTAAGATGAGGGACTAACCAGAGCAAATGAAGAATATGCAGGTGACGTTTTGATGGTCTAAGGGAAGAGGAAGGTAATCCCAAGGGTGAAAAGGCGAACAGGTTTCTTAAGATTGGAATTATCACCTCGCAAAAGTTTGGACAAACCTCTGCTCCACTGAGGAAGTGTCATGGGGCTCACCCCACCTTAAGGGGGGGGAATTCCTGGCGGACTTGTAAGGTAGAAGTTGAGGGGCATGAATTGTCCAAAGGGGAATAATATTACTCAAAAGCGCTGGGAACGGGCAATGATGTGTACAAGCACCAAGGGATACATCTGGGCCCCGTGACAAAAGATCCAAGAACATGTCAGGGGTTAGTGAGCCAGGCTAAACCAAAAAGCACACAACATACCGGAAAGAAAAAAGAAAACACATGCATTTATTGAACAGCGACAAGGAGAAAGGTCGTGGCAAAACGCAACCACCCACCCCAATCAGCCATTTCACCACCCCCGATGGCTGTCTTGTTGGTAGTTGATGGTAAAGGGGTTCTCCCCTAGAGGCACCCCATTGAGTTCACCGCCCCGCAATGGATGTTTTTGTTGGTAGTTGATGGACCCAAAGTGTAGTCAAAACTTTTGACCTGGACCATCCAAGCAGGTCTTCCGCTATGGCCAACAAAGTAACCTGGCAACAAATTGTTGGTTGCTATCTTGGTCAGGCAATTGGCCAAATGCTTCCAGGGGCCAAATGGATTCAACTGGGCTTGCCTCAAAATTAGGGCACCGTAAGAAAAATGGTCGTTGTTTGGTTGGTTTCCCTTGAAAAAAAACGCGTAAATGGGTTGGTTCCCCCCAAAACGAGACGTCCCTCCACCCACGTGTTGCATCCGAGCGGCAGCTCGTGACACCGAAGGACGAGAGCCCGTTGCACGCCGGCGGATCCTGTTGTGGGTCTGGAAAACATGAGATCAGACCCCTGGAGTTGTCCATGTGGCTGTGGTTGTCAAAACCGTTTTGGTAAACATTTTGGTTGGTAGGTGCACCACTTTTGACCCATGGCCATGTGGTTCCCTCACTTGCTGGTGCTCAGTGGGCAATCTGGAAATGATCCTTATAAACCATCCAACTGGCGGCTTCCTTTCAGGGGATCCCCAGGTTCATTCCCTCATTGCCTGCTGAGCACCAGCGAGTTTCTTGCCCTTTCATTAATGAAAAGGAACGGAAAGGGCCCAAAGATGTGGTTTTTGGCCTCTCTCAAATTCATGGAATCGGCAACAGGTCTCCCTTTTGGGGTTGCGACATAGAAACTAGGCGCCTGGAAAACAACAAAGACACCTGCAATTGTCAACCTCAACTCAAAGAATAACAAAAGGAGAAACCCTAACTTTGAGTTGGTGATTTTGTTTGGGACAGCCTGACTTTGGATTGCTGATTTTCTACCCTGACTTTGGGATACAAGTGGGTCAGATGTTGTTTGAGAGTACCCTTTTTGGAGTGGTTTTAAAGGACACCGAAAGTAATGCCCTTAAGTTGGGGGGTCCCGATCCTGAAAAAACGACACACCCACGTGTTTGCTACCCTAAAAGTTGGGTTGATGGATTCGAGCTTCGGAGCAGCGCCTGTTGGCCTCCTGAAAAAGCTCGAAACAAGGGGGGCATCCTTGTCCGGGTCCTTCAGGCAGCCCCGATGGGGGGGGGGTTCTTGTTTGGTTTGCGTCCGATCCCAGGAATCTACGTTGACCCCTGAATACATGGATGATGCACATTGTGCGTTTGCTCAAGCTGTAACTTCTTTAGAATGAGAATACATATATATATATATATAGATTTGCGGGCCCCCTGAGCTGTCGACTTGTCCGGGGGCAAAGGGTGGGCAAGTACCAGCTGTTCCAAGGCTTCACTACCCTTCCATTCTAGGAGCCATCTGAGAATCGAGAATCCTTGATCCCTGAACTGTATGGCTAGACTGCCCCCAGCAGAAAATAAGAATACTTCCAGCGAGAGATTCCCCTCAAAACCACCAGGGGAAAATAAATATGTGCTTTCATTTCAGCAAATGAAAGCAACAAACCACCGTGGTTCTCCAACCCAGAGCGGTGTCCGTTTGGTTGAACATCAATTTATGTTTCCCTGGTAGATGATTATAAAATCACCCTTGCGGTCAAGCAGGAATCGCCATCTATGCTTCACCATAACCAAAAAGGAAGCCTATGGTCCAATCGACGAACCCGACGAACCCTATCGCTTCCTGCTCCCAGCTGCCCGACGGGTCTCTGATCTCCACTTGCCAGGAGCGAAAGGAGCAGGTGCCCTGGCCAACGCCCCATCCGACTTTGGGGAGGTTCCCTTGACGCCGCCTTTGGAAAATGTGCTGATTGTTGTTGCCTGGAAGCTTCTGGAGGCAGAAAAGGGCGCCAAAGACCATCTCTCAAAAAAAGAGAGAGAAAGAACCAGAGCCACGGCGAAATATGTGTCCTCATTTTGACGAACCTCATATGCCCTTTGACCGGAGGCTGGGGTGGGGGTTGGCGTGGATTCCCGAAATCTTACGGAAACAAGTTGCCAAACTCTACCAGAATGGCGCACGGGGCAAAACGCTTCGAAGTGGGTCAGTTGCCCCAACCGACCCAAAGGCGTTCGTTGTGCAACAAAAAAGTCATCTCAAAAACAACTTCCGGGATGGGATGACCAGGTCTGGAGCCATCTACGAGGGGAACAAGTGGGCCATGGTCAGTAAGCCACCGCCCGCTGTTCCCTGAAAAAGGCGCCGTACCTGGATTCGAATCATCCTAGAAATGGTCTTGGAACAGAGTCACCTGGCATGGCCACGGTTCTTCTCCTTGAGCAATGTAAACATGATCAAATGGAGGATAAAGCTTCCGAGGGATTTATTTATGCTAGCTTTACTTCCTGACAGGCCAAGGTCCAACTGTATGATTTCCCAAGTCCAAGCGCGTGAGTGAGTGACATATTTGGGTGGCCTCAAAACAAGGAAACCCACAAAAACATCACGGTGTCTCTTTACCCTATGAACACCACCGTAAAAACAATACCCTCAACAAAAAGACAAACCCATATGGTTGCATCTATTTCTGTGGCGAATTCTCCCCTGGAAAGTTGTTTTTCAGGGAAGGGAAGAAGCCAAGGGAATTAGTTCCCTTCAGAAAGCCAAGGAGATGGGACAACAAGAATGTCCTGTTTGTGGCATGCAAAAGGAAACCCTGGTAGCCCTTCTTTTGGTTCAATGTAAAATACAGGTTGAAGATCTTGGTTGGTGGCCAAAGGCCAAGGAAATGGCTATGACTTTCAAGAGTCGGAAATCAAACAAGTGGACATGAGCCCCATAGAATTCTGTCCAAAGGGTCCCTAATTATGAAGTTCACGCCCAAATCACTTCCACCAACAATCATTTGGTTGCAGCTAGTTTGACGTTTCCCGTCTACAAGAAGGGTTCCAATCCAAATGCCACATCCAAACCACCCATCCACCCATTGAGGGTTAAGAAAAAATATGTTGGCAAACCCTTAAAACTTAACCCACCAAACCACCAATCACCCTGGAACTTGACATTGAGGGTTCAAATCCAAATCCAGTTCCCACCAATCCAAACGACCAATCGGAGGGAAGCTGATTGTTGGCAATGACTCGGGCATCGAGTTTTGCTTAGGGACCCTTTTGTGGACAGAATTCGGTCAGGATCCTTGAAAAGCAATCAGTTCTCACAAGAAACCAGTTCCCACCAATCCAAACCCCAACAAAAACTTACCTGACAAATGGGCTTCGGTTTTTCCTTTTGGTTTGGACAAAAACAAAGATCCAAAAAAGGGGTACCTGCCTGAAACCAACCGGAAGCAGCCAGATCCTCCGCCCCGCTCCCCCCTCCACTCGCTCACTCGCTGGCTCCTGTTCCGGTGCCGGGCTCCATGAGATGGCCAGGGAGTCGGCGGTCTGCTGCGTCACCACGAGGTCCTCGTATTTGTTTGGTGCGTTTTTGCAACTCGAGGAGTGCTTCCGGTTGGCTCTGTTGTTGCAACTTCGATTTTTTTTCCGTTGCAACTTCTAGTTTTGTTTTGCAACTTGAGGCGCGTTGCTTCCAGTTGCTTAAGACACCCCCCCACCGAAACAAAATACAGAAGCACGCATGTTTTTGCTTGTTTGCAACTTGAGGAGTAGTGAGACCTGCACCGTGGTGTTTGGAGAGGGGTTTGTCGGTTGCGGGTACGAGGATGTGTGGAGTGCCTCCTGTTGGTTTTTTGGTTGCTGTTGCGACTTCGAGGTTTACTTTTTGCAACTTCATTGAGGAGCGTTACTTCCAGTTGCTCAAGACCACCCCCACTCCCCCCCCAAAAAAAAGCAAGAACAAGTCGAACAACAAACAGTTTTGATAGATTCCCTTGAAAACCGACAGGGGAGAGTAAAAAAAGCGTAGTGATAGATTCCCTTTGAAACCAACAAGGACTAAAAGCATATTGCAAATGGGGTGAAGACCCCGAGCAAAAATCGGAGAAAAAAAACAAAAAACATCCTCTATTGATTGATTCCCTCAGACTAACATGGAAGCTCCCCCAATTTGCCTCTGTAAATGGGACTAAGTCTTCCAAAGCAGCCCTGGGTGAGTCTGGGGCAGGGCAGATTCCCTTTGAAACCAACAAGGGATAGAAAACACACATATTCTTAAGCAAATGGAAGGTTGGAGGGGTGGGGGTGTTGGGAGGCTTCTGGAGGCTATCTCTTAGAGTTGCTATCCTTTCAAAGGGCTGCTTCAAGGGAAGGCCATGTTTGGAGTCTCCTGTTTTTGGAGCATGCACACATAATATTAATATACTGTTGGGGAGAGACGAAATACGAATCAAGACAAGTCAAGTAAAGAGTATGCCCAAAAGTGCTATGGCGGCACCGGAAGCTTCACTCGCACAACCTGTTTTGCCTTGAGCCAAAATGTACAAGTCATCCAAGGCGAACTGAATGTTTCTTTTCAGTGTCAACCCTGGAAACCTGATTCAAAGGAAAGTTCAAGCAAACATGAATTCCGGGGCAAGGTTGAATTAGACATGCATGCACCACCTACCATCAGGAAAATGTGGATTCCAGCAGGGGGCATTCTTCTCCCCCTTCTCACACTCGGAAAGTGTCCTACGCAGACTCCAGTTTAGTTATTTAACTATCTGGTCTACGCCTACGGGTCTCGGAGCGTTTCCGCTTCACGAGATGGCACTTTGCAAGTTGAGCTTAAGGATGCCATGTTAAGTAGGTCTAGTGCATGGTCCCACTTGCACACCGGCAATGGTTTTGTAAACACATCTGCTCTCTGCTTGTCCGTTGCTATGTACAGGAGTTTGCAACTTGGATCTTCGAAGACCTCATAAGCTGAACCTAGTTCGATCTTCTCCGTCTTCGTGAGGTGTCGCAATTTGGGGCTATAACCTGCAGCCACGATCTGGATTACAGCTGAGTTGTCCTGAAAGCACTCTAGCGTAACCTGACGATCCAAGATCAATTCCAGGAAGCCTTGTGCTGGCAATGCTTCGCCGAAAAGGCCTGATCCTAGTGAGATCATCTCTGCTGCTGTTGTGCTCCTGGCAGTCGCGGTTTGGCGTTTACTGCCCCACGCGATTGGCCACAAGGTATTAGGGCCCTCAATGGACAAGAACATGCCACTCGTGCTTTTCGTGTGTTCGATGCCACTACAGTGGTCCGCATCTGTGTACAAGCACAGCTTGAGCAGTTCTGGCGGGTCGCCTATATGTCCTTGTAAAGTGTACCCTTTTGACCCATACAGGTAGCACATTAGCCTATGGAGTCGTTTATCATCTGCTCGACTCCATGTGGTAATCCTACGTGTCAAATCCCCTATCCCTTTCATTAGGTCGGGTCGGCTTAGCCTAGCGCACCAGAGGATTTTCATCAAGATTTTGCATGCAGAAGTTGCCAAAACCCCTTTACTTTCAAAGTCAGCGGTTGTAAGGCTACCTTCTGGGCAGAAAGGACTTTTAGCAGTGCTCAACTTACATTGAGCCAAGCCCTCATACACTGCACATGCATCCTCGATGAAGTCGAACATTTCGAGCGAAACCTTGGTCGATCCATTGGTCCGGTCGAATTTATGCTGTCTGCCCAGCACACGTTCAACTTGAGTTGGAGGTTCGATCTCCAAATGCTTTTCGATCTCCTGCCAAAACTTGTTTTGTTCTGATGACGGCCCTGAGCACAGAATGTCGTCGACGTAGCAAGTTACAAGAAGCTTTCTTCGTGGAAACCAAAATGAAGATGGAAATTCATCAACATGTTGACCTTCCAAAAGTTTCATCACTTCCCTTAGCCTTTGATCCCAATGGTATCCTGATTCGGGATGGCCATAAAGGCTCCTGACCAACCTCACACACGGCTGTTTGAAGTGCCGGTATTCTGGAGGAGTCAATTCCCAAGGCAAGATCACCCATGTGGGCACCTTAGTCCCAAGGTACGCTTGGGTGTAGGCTTTTACTACGTCTGATTGACGAGTTTCGTGACCCTTGATGGCGCCGTATGCTAGATTGATGTTGACACCGGTCATTCCGGTCGGAGTGACTTTTGCTTCTTGGAGCACCGCAAGATTGTTGTCTTCCGTGAGGATGTGATCCCCTCGGAAAACTATCCTGGCCTTGAGTTTACGGAGTTCTGGGGTTTCCCAATGCTTTATCGACAAGATGGTCATTAGGGAAGCAATGTTGATATGCTCCTTGTTCCTTTTACATCTTGCCAAAAGGTCCTCTTTTGAGATTACCTCATCGAAAGTCCAGGTTCCGTTAGCTACTAGCCCATTCACTTCATTGTCAATGGCGTCTTGCGCTCCAGGAAAGTTACCCCATTCTTTCCTCTCCAACAATTTGTGGATGCCAGCAAACACATGTTCTACTCCTGGCAGCTCCTGATGACCTGCCTCGTTCTCCGGGGCGTGGTCGCCACACAGGAACTCTTGCACGGAGTTTGGCCCAGCTGACACTTGCACAGGCATTGCAGGCGGTGCGTCAATCCAGGGATATAAGGACTGAGAAATGCACCTTGCCATAGGCATCGGGTAAAAGGCACTTCTAGGTGTCTTACTGCCTGCAAGAGGTGAATGCTTATAGTCACGCGGATGTTGACACTTGGCACTGTCTAGGTTTTTAGCCAACCTCCATGAAGAGGTTACAACTCTCCACGTCTTGAGGTGACATTTACCTTCTTGGTCACAGAGTCCAAATGCACAACCTTGAGGTTCCGCCACGAACAAGTCATGCCTCTTGACAAACCTGATCAGCTCTGGCAAGTCCCATCCGGCACATGTCTTCGGCCACTCGAAGGCAACGTGGCCCCCTTGACTGAGGACTTTGTCTGCACAACGAATGTAGTTTGCTAAAATTTTTCTAGAATGCTTGCGCATTTTCTTGAGTTTCTTAGCAAACGGTTTTCCGTATTGATGGAGATTTACATTCTGCCATTGCGACCAGGGGCCGCAAGGAATCGATCCCCACAAATCACACCCGGGAAATTGTTCTATGACCTTCAAAAGACTGTCATTTTCCCACTGGCTTGACATGTCAGAGTTCTTTGTTGTGAGTCGGAAATGGTTGATTCCTCTTTCTTCGTTGATCTGACCCAACGTTGAGTTCTCATCGCAACAAAACTCAAAGAGTGTCGGATTCGCCGTTCGACCTTTGCGGTCTTCACGTGCAGGCTTGACCAAGTCCTTAGTGAGTTCAAGGATTTCTCTGGCCTTCCTAGTTCGTGCTTGGCTGTCACCGGCTTGCTCGATGAACCTTTGCATAGCTCTGAGATTACCGTCTGAAGGGTTGGCTGCGGCTGCACACAGTTGCGCTTGATCTGGCGACACACGTCCTTTCGGAAAGAACCACGTCTTACCAAACCAACTTTTGGATGAAATCCTTTGATACGGAGTCTCTTGCCAGTTGTCCCTATGCACGGAAACCTTCCCCTTGCATCTCCACTCGGTGATGCGTTCCGGTTCAACCTCGTTGGAGTCGAAAGGACAATCCTTACCCACTGGTGCAAATAGCCTTTTTCTAGGTCTTAAATGCACTAGTACCCATGCGTGCCTTGCTTCATCAAACTCCCAATAATCCTTGGTTTCGGAGTTGTCCTCAACCAAAGACTTTGCCCCCTTGACGTCTGATCTTGGCCCTTTGTTTTTAGAGTCTTGAAAAGAACAGTTGTGACAAGAGTCGACGGCGGTGGTACCAGGAGCATCGGTTGCTTCACTGGCCCTTTGGGTTAGCGTGATGACTGCTGCTGGAGTGGGCGGAACTGGTGTCGAAGGTGCTGGGCCAGATCCAGGAGTTCGAGGTACCGGTGTACCCCGTGAAGCAGGAGTCGGAGGCATCGGTATCCCCCTTGCTGCTGCCTCTTCCCGGGCCTTAGCCTTGGCCTCCTGTGCCAGCCTCTCATCCTCGAGGAGGACACGGAATCTGTCGTGACATGCATCGGAGTGCGGTACTCCTTCCGAGATCCTTTCACACCCTTTGCAACCCGGGGTTCTACCAAATTTGATGGCCCTCTCCAACGTCACATAGGTTCGTTTTCTCCTAGGGACAGGATCTGGGACTTCATCGTCAAATGGCAAAGCCTTCCTGGTTGAAATGGATGTTGGGGTTGATTTCGCACTGAACAGCTGAAGCCTTTGTTGCTCTGCCTCAAAAAGAGGGAAAACCCAATGTCCATTTGAAGGTTCGACCAATTCTGTTTCGTAAACTTGGATTGGCTTACCACAACCTTGAGTGTTTTTGCGAAGCGACTCAAAGTCTAGGACGAGGTGTATGCCCCTAAATTTGTACCCTGCGTCGATCCTCCAGCCAACGAATATGCCGGGGTATGTCCTCGGCTCGAAGTCCGGAAGCTCTCGATGCTTGGGCGGCTTGTAAAACACCAGGCAACCAAACGGCAGCTTCAAACCTGTGAAGGCGTCACCGCCGCTCGCGGCTTCATATGCGTTC